TATAATACATTCCCGAACTAGATGTGCTGGTCTTATTTAATATTGGGAGTTCTGTATTATCCCTTCCCTCTGTTAACTGAGATAATTGAGGATTTATTTTATTTATAGCATCCATTATGAGCACGGAAATTAATCCTTTAATGGTGAATTTGGGAGCTCAGCTGTCAAGGGGGCACAAGGGAACCCTGGACTGGGCACAGGTGTCTTTCCCACCAGCAAAGGAGGTGGCAAAGGAAAGCCATCCTCAAGCGTTGATGGCAGCTGGGCTGTTATTGTTCTGTGTGCTTAAGATATTTTGAGAAATTAAATAAATAGGAATAATTGGCTCCAGGAGATCCCTCCCTGGAGGACACCTGAGTAAGTCATCAGCGGATCCTGGGAAAGCAGGCAGAGATGGCAACCAGAGCCAGGAAGAGCGAACTCCTTCACTCGGCACATCAGCCCTCGGCCAGTCAGTCAGCCCTGCTCTGCAAAGGAACTCAAGACAGTCTCTCCAGACTGGAAATAGGAAGCAAGGGAAGGTTTGGGCGGGGACGGTCTGGAGCCTGGAAGAACTAGGAGTCTGCTGGGAATTGTTGGAAGCAACCGGACAGAACATGGAACGTGGCAGAACACTGGCTCTTGGTATTGCACAGCCACTTGGGGCTCAAATGCCAGTGAAGAGTAAGCAAAAGACAGGCTTTCTGGAGTGGTCGAACAAGCTTACAACTAGCCAGTAAATGAGCTCAGGACAGAAACCAGCCGAGGAGAGGAAAGGTTTCCAGGGTCTGGTGGGTAAGACCTCCAGTAAGGGTAAGAAGACCCCCACAATGCAGCAAAGCACCCCAGTCGGGGGGACCACACACCAGGTGAAGGCTGCCGTCCTCTCTCTCCATGGGGCCAGGGCTGGGGCAGACACAAATCTTGGGTCCACCCTAGAGAGAGGACAGGTGGGTCTGGAAGGAACTGAGAACAGTATCACACCAAGAAAATGGAAAAGGAGCCCCATTCGCATTGACCCATCCATTTGACAGTGTTTTTCCAAACACCTGCTGTGTATAGCCGAGCGGTGAGCCTGGTGATGGTTCCCACTGCCAACTCAGGTCAAAGTCAAAGCAGCCCAATCCAACATCGGGCGACACCAGCCAGGGTGGAAGGGAAGAAAAAGCCTGCTTTCCAGTTACTTAACTGAGGTTAGGGAAGATATAACTAAAAGGCTTCTTTTCTTGTTCTGGCCCATGAGTCTTTCCTCACCGAGGCTAGACGTCTTGATGCACGGGGAAGGGAAGGGTGAGGAGTCCACAGTGCCCACAGTCAGGGGGAGCATGCTTCTTCCCACGCAGATATCCTGCCCTTCCTCTTGGTCTCACTCTCTGGCACAGTCTTCTTGCTTTGCCCCTCCCGCATTCCCGAAAATAAATGTGAGGCCATGACTGTCCACCCCCTGGCATTGGACTCGACCTTGATTCTACAGAGTGAAGGCTAAAGGAAATCACTGGTCTCCCCAATGACAGTAAAACACTGGATTTTGCCATGAAAGCAGCCATTAATTTCCAAGGCAGAACTTAAACTGGCCAGAAGGAAATGTTTTATTTATACATTCCCTGTGTGCCTAGTGAGGTGTCTGTAGTACTCACTGCACTGATGCTTTCTTTCTTCGATAGTGATATGACTAGAATAGACTATGACACCCTGAGGCCATAATAAAAAAAAATAACTCTGAAGGGCTGATTTCCACCTACGGGCCCTGATGGTACGGAAACAAGTAGAGGGGGGAATGAGAACAGAAAGGGTCCTGGAGACAGCCAGACAGGTATTTGCAAAGCAGCACCACCCCTTAGCAGCTATGTGACTACAGGTATTTACTTAACCTCTCTGCGCCTCGCCTGCTGCATCTTCAAAGTTGTATAGAGTTTTTCCTACCTTGCAAGGCTATTGTGAAGACTTAAAGAGATAACATATGCAAAGTGCTCAGCACACTGCTGACACATAGTAGACACACATACGCTATTATACTAATAAAATGTAATGGGCAGGTGGTCACTGAAGTTTCCACTGATCTCCTCTGAAACGGTCCCACATCCCCCATCCCATGGATGACACCCATCCGTCTGTCCTGTTTTCTCCCCATGGTGGTCCTGAGGCATCACTCTGGTGTCATGCGTCCCACCAAGGGGCACTTGAGGGCGCTGGACAGTCAGAGCCATGTCAGAGCGCGGCCATGGAGGTCCTGGCCGTGGGAGCGGTCCCTTTCAGGAAAGCGAAGGGATGGCCAGGTTAGCACAGAAGCAGCAAATGTGCCTCCTTCTCCTGACACGTGGCCAGCTCTCTAGCCCGTTTTAATCCCTAAATATTCCACTGTGCCAGGAAGCCACATCCTCCCCCTGAGCCAAGAGAGGCAGGGTCAAAGGACCAGACTTTCTTGCCCATCTGGGTGGGAGCAGCTATTTGGAGGCTGCGTGTGTGTTGGAAAGGGAGGAAGGGGCAGGGTGGCCTCTGTCAGACGGACAGAGGTGAATGGAATGCCCCCATCATGGACAGTGACACCCCACGCCCTCCCCCTTGCTACTCCCTCCCGTGTGGCAGAATGACAAATGTAATCATTTTAAAAGGTCCCATCACCTGCTCAGTCATTCCCAATAAGCACATGCAGCGCTATGGAAAGACCGATACCAGTGCCACAGGGTTTCAGCCAGGAAAAAAATAAAATAAAATCACCAGGACGCCAAGAACCGAATTGTCAAACACCAAATAAAAAGCTTCATGAATTCTCCAACAGCAATATAACGCTTCCTGGCCTAAGCCAATAAAGACCCAGCATACGAATCATGAAGGGGTTCTGCATTAGCCTCAACGAGTTGCAATGGCTGAAGCAGCAACCCCTAAGAATTACACATCTCCATAAAGCTGCCTTCATTGGCCCTAATCCTGTTAGGGTGAAGATTGTAATCTGCTTCCTCACCCCCCAGCCTCTGATGGAAATCTTCACATCCCAGTACTGCAAATACATTTTGGTGACCTCAGCTGCAGAGGGGACCTCGGGGAGATGGAAGAGACAGTCACCTGTGACCTCGCTGAGCGCCTCTCCCTCCCTCTGATGATATTGCTGCCACTGTGTCTGACCACATGATCCATTCAGACCACCTCACAATCGCCCAGGAAGGCCAGATCATTCCATCACAGAGTCAGGCTGAGAAAGCAAGACCGCTGTTCCTTCAGTGAGAAAAAACAAACCGTGTGCCCCACTTTGCAGAAAACCCAAGTTCAGAGTCCCTTAGAGAAAGTCTGTTCAGAGCTACTGAACCCTTGAGCATCTGTGGCAGCAGAGAAGAAAAGTAAGGCAAAAGAGAAAACAGGCTGCAAATACACGACCAAGGAGAAATGCAGGAAGGATCCCAAAAGAGTGTTCTAGGTGTCTTCTGTTAATGGAAATCTGTACCTTCCTGACAACACTCGCTGAACTTCTCACTGCCTTCTTCCTTCCTGCTACACTGTTTTTCTCCTCAAGGCAGCCCTTGCAAGCACAAGATGCATATAAGCATGCAGCAATCACCACTCACCTCTCCCTCACCACACACACATACACAGAAGGCATGGCTGAAAAAAATAAATGGTGATTTAATTTTCCATGTTTTGTAAAATACATGCCCCCCGCAAAAAGAAAACTCAATTCCGAGACTTCTGTCCTCCCCAAACAAATCATTCACGTGCCTTCCTCTTCTGATGAGGGGCTTCCCTTGCTCCTACAACTTGGAGAAGTGACTCCATCCTCCTCTGCCCAATCCTGATACCATCCAAAGCGTCGTCGTCAATCCAACCTCCGCCCTTCTCCAGTCCAACAGAGCAGGACTTACCCCAGTGTGGTCATGGTGACGATGGTGTACCAAAAAGAGGCGGGGATGCTCGTGAACTTGCTGGCGGAGGAGCCCTTCTCGGCATAAAACATCACAGTGGCAAAGATGATGATGGCCATGGTGAGGGAGAAGAGGAGGAAGCCGAGCTCAGAGGCACAGCTCTTCAGGGTGTAGCCCAGGATCCGCAAGCCCTGGGAGTGGCGGGAGAACTTGAAGATCCTGAAGACGCGGAAGACCCGAAGCGTGACGAAGGCGCCCGACACGTCCTCATTGTTGGTCATTACCAGGCCGATGTAGTAGGGCATGATGGCCACCACGTCGATGATGCTCATCACGCTGCGGATGAAGCGGTAGCGGCTGGGCGCCGCGAAGAGCCGGAGGAGGTACTCCACCGTGAAGATCATGACGCACGCGGTGTCCAGACAAAAGAAGGCCACCGAGTAGCGTTCGCCACACGGCAGCTCCTTGCTCCCAGGCACCGTGCCACACGGCACCGTCTCCACCACGTTGGTGATGACCGAGACGGCAATGAAGAAGCCAGTCACGTAGTAGAAGACCAAGGCCAGCGTGCTGGTGTGCGGGTTCTCGAAGGCCCGCCACATGGTCTGGCGGAAGCTGAGGGAGGGCGTGGACTCCTGGTTGTTCTCCGAGTCGTTGTCGTCCATGAGCCGCTCGGCGTTCTCCCTCTTGCGGTCCTTGTACTCCTCGTAGCAGCAGTCGCCAATGATCTCGGGCAGGATGCCATAGAAAGCCAGCTCGTCGTCGTAGGCGGAGATGCACTCGTAGCGGGGGTAGTGCAGCTTGCCCGTGCGGTAGAAGTTGAGGACGCAGCGGAACACTTCTGGGTCCCGGTCAAAGAAGTACTCCTTGGTGTCCTCGTTGAAGAAGAACTCCTTCTCCGTGCTGCCCAGCAGTGTGTCCGGGTAGCGCTCCAGCGTGGTCCGCCACGTCTGGAACCTCCGCCCGCTCACGTTGAGGACGATCAGTTCATCCTGCCGCTTGTTCTTGTCCGCCGGGGCGAGGGGCATGGGGCAGTTGGCCACTGGCATCCACCCGATGGCCGCAGCCCGCGCGAAAGGCAGCCAGGCTGCGACTCCGGCCGCCATGGTGACTCCAGCTCTTGGGCGGCCACTGCTCCGCCACCGCGCACACCAGCTTGAGAGTTAGCTCAGCGACCCCTGGAGACAGGAGGAGAGAGCGGAGAACCAGTGAGTCCCTGATGGGCCCCCCCGGGGTGGGAAATGGGACACAGGGAAGGGTCATCGGTAAGTGAAAGAGCAAAAGTCTGGAAGGCAAATTAATGGAACTGAAGACACCACCAAAGAGAGGAGACTTGATTCTTTCCCCTCCCTTCGCCGGGAGAGCACCTAGCACCCACCGGGCCCGTGCAGCAGTGTGGGATCACCGGAATTTGTTGACTGCCTGACAAATTGTCAAGTTCCCAGAGGGCTCAGGAGCATTTGGAGGGAAAGCGTCTTTAGCAGAAAGATCTGGGAAGACGTGGGTAATAACCAGCTCCGAAAGGTTACGGCATTATTACGAATTTAAATTGGGAGAGGGTAAATGAGTTCTTGTTAAATGAATTTAAAAGTGGGATAAACATGCTAATTTTTATTTCTCTCTTCACCCACTAGGGTAATCAGGAATGGCATGTGGATGAGGGAGATCAGGTAAACACATTCTTTCCACTCTTCACGGGTGAGGACGCTGGGGTTGCCCAGGTCTGGACAATTCTCTGAGATGGCAGGTGACCACAGTAGACCCAGGATTTGGTGGAGTTCTGTCCCCGAGTCCCATGGAGGAGGCTGACTCTGGTGGAGCGCTACACTGGGACATCCAGCAACCTCGTGTCCAATCACGCCCTCAGGGCCATAATAGAAAGATGTGGCAGAGGCTGTGAGGCTGGGGTTCCTCCCCGACCTTGCAAAGGGCTCTTGGATTCTTGGTTCACCTGCCTTTCATGCATTGTCCCTCTCCCTCCCAGAGGAAGCTGATCCACGCTTATTGCCATCTCCAGGCTCCTCGCCTCCCGTCTCCATCTGCCCACCATCCATAACTCCCTCGGGTTATATAACAATACTCTTTCTCAAGCCAGCCTCTTTCACCTGGCCTCTCTCCACCCTCAGAGATTCCGCCAGAGCTGGGCCACCTCGGCCCTTCACTCACAGCTCTCTGAGCTACGCCGAGTACACACTTCCCCATCACCTGCGTGGATGGAGGGAACAGTGGCGCGGAGAATTATATTTGGCTTTGGGAAACAGATTTACCTTCCCAAATCTGGCTTTTTAAAGATGATAGTGAAATGACTCTGCAATCCCAAATGTATACCATCTGTGGGGAGACATGTGGTGACACAGAAACACACGTAACAGCAACGGGAAATTGTTTGGGGTTGACACTCGTTTTCCCAAATCCTAAACTGATCACGCAGAACCAATCCTGACTCAGAATTATTTGGACCCTCTGGAATTCAGCTGGTTTAAAGAAATGAGGCAGAGGGTGAGTCTTGTAATGGGATTTGATCTTCATCTTTCCTTGTAACCCTGCTTGCTTCTCCTGACTCCCAACTCTTCTAGGTTTTCCAGATCTCTACCCTCTCTCATTCCTGAGCCACCACGGACTTTCCCACCTGGATGCCTCTGAAACTGGACAGGTGTCAGCTGAGTCTACCTCCCTGCAAAAAAGCTGCTCTTCACCTTTTGTTCACAGCATCCCTAACCCCGGGCCTGTCGCCTTGGCCACCTTCCTCACTGCTCCACCCAAAGAGGTGCCAAATAATGAGACAGGAGCTCTACTGCCCTCATTAAGGCCTCATTTCCCTCAGGCCTCCTTCCCACTGGCCTGCTTGTCTCTCAACTCCCCGCCTCCCCGACCCTGTTTCTCCTGTTCCCAGTAAATCCATTCTGCTCCGGGTAATCTCCCTAAGCAAGATTTCCCCACAGCCTACAAAATCAAGTCCGAACCCTTTGGCGGCATTCTGGCATTTCCATAAACGGATCCTGGTTTATCATTCTAGCCCCATGCCCCACGCGCCCATCCTAAACCACAGACGGGCTCAGGCGCAGCCCTTGTGGGTTCTGTCTGTGGGCACTCTTCCTTTCTGTCGGGAATATCCTTCCCCTTCACCCAGCCCTCCTGTTAGAATCCCACCCATGCCTCACTCTCTCTGCGATGCGCCTTCCTCTCCCCACTCTGAAATTCTCTCCTCCTTTGGGCTCTCGGCACTTCGTTTGCCCCTCTTCCCTAGCACCTATCACCCTCTCGCCTGGATTACAGACACTCTCTGTCTTATTTTATTTATTTATTTATTTTTGCGGTACGCGGGCCTCTCACCGCTGTGGCCTCTCCCGTTGCGGAGCACAGGCTCCGGACGCGCAGGCTCAGCGGCCATGGTTCACGGGCCCAGCCGCTCCGCGGCACGTGGGATCTTCCTGGACCGGGGCACGAACCCGTGTCCCCTGCATCGGCAGGCGGACTCTCAACCACTGCGCCACCAGGGAAGCCCTCTCTGTCTTATTAATCATCATGGCCAACAATAATTGAGCACTGACTCTATGCCAGGCACTGCACTGTCTCCTGTGGATCATTTCGTGTAATCCTCACAGCAACCCCAGGACGAAGTCTGAAATTCAGCAGTCTGCCAGCTGGAAAGGGGCAGAATGGGGATCCCACCCCAGGCAGTCTGACCCCACGCCACGTGCCCTGAGGTGCTGTGCTACACTGCTTCTCAAGGTCTTTCTGTAAGAAGAATAGCAGCTGATGTTTACTGAGGGCTCACTGCCAGCCAGCCCAGTACTGCAAGCTTACATGGATCACCTCAGCCCACCCCACCAACACCCCTAGGGGGCAGACACCACTGTCGTCCCCATTTTGCAGGCGAGGAAGATGAAGTATGAGGAGGTATAACTGGCTAAAGGATGTAATAATTAGGCAGAGAGATTTAAACCCAGGCAGTTTCAACGTGGAGTTCAAGGGTATAGCCAAGTCTCGTCCCTGTTTTCCCCAACCCACACTAAGCTCCTTAAGGGTAAAGGCCATGATAACTCAACATTTACATGACAACTCAGGAGGTAGTGTAGTCGGTGCTCAACCTACTGTTGGTAGGTGGGAACCCGGATTATATAGATGTCATTTGCAGTCCATCGATTTTGCTCCATGCCGTGCCTATCAGGGGTTTTCAAGGGTGGGCATTCTCTCTCCAAACACTCAGTAAACTCTGAAGATAGATCTGAATAAAATGAACCCAGTTTAAGTGCCTCTGACTCCCTGTGGCTCTCAGTGGAGTTTTCCCAAGGAGGCAATCTCTGCCTCAGTTTCCCCCTCTTCGTGCTAAGGAGCATATTCACAGGTCCCTCTGCTTCCTCATAAAGGGAGGTTGATTCAGGTGTCACAGTAGACATCAGGAATTACAGTGACATTCCTCTAAATGTCACCACTCAGAGAAGAGTAAAACAGCACAGGCCTGATGAGCTCTTGATTACGGGAACTGAGGAAAGAACAGGGGGATCATTCATCCACGGCAGTGAGTAATCCGCATGCCACTGATGCTGCCCATAGAAGACTTGGGAACACATCCTGTGCATTTTATATCTTTCTTCAAGAAATTTACCCTTATAACTGCCTGTATTTCCTTTAGGTTACTAGGAGAATTTGTAGTCCCTAAGCACACACTTAGCTAGGTTTTCTAAGGGGCAAGGGAAGTTTGGGAAGCAAGCCTACAATTTAAACACTGGTGACAAGATAATTCTGATTCAAACATTGGTGACAAGATAATTCCAATTCAGATTTAGCCAACATTACTGATCATTGACCATGCAGTGGGCACTGGTTTAAGCACTTTTACAGCAACAGTTAATTAATCCCACAAAAATCCTATGACATGGGCATTTATGCTGACAAATTTCAGAAAAGGAGCTGAGACTCCTTCAAAATGACTATGCTCCATGTATATGGGAGTTGACGATTTTCCAATAGGCCACCGATCCACTGCCACATGGCTTTCTTGACCTAGGTGTAGTCAGATACTGATGTTCCCATGGAAGAGAGCAGGATATATACTCCCCTCACCCTGTCCCCAGGCAGCAGAAAGCATGGGGTCTGGATGCCCTGCGCTCCAGTTCCAATTCTCTCCTGAACTTGTGGAAGCAAGCCACCATTACCCTCTGGGCCTCACAACCCTCATCTGTCAAATGAAATAACTGGACAAGAAAGTGACAAGGAGATATTTAGCTCAAATAATCCTTGATTCTACTGGATCCAGGACATCAAGCCTGTAGCTCAGGTCTCGCTGAGACCTCTCCATGGCAGTCGCCCCTGCAAAGCAGGAAGTAGACCATCTGGGTTTGTTGCTGTGGGGACAGAGTTAGTCTGAGCCTCCTTTTAGAGGGCAGTTCTGGGAATGCCTGATGAGGCTAGTGCCCAGAAAAGGGCACACAACCTGCACTGCTTAGAACTCAAAGCAATCAAAGGCCCAGTTCATCCATAGAACCCCTGGCCACCCCCCTGGAGGGTAAAGAGATCCAGGCTCTAGACCCTGGGCCCTGGACCTCTGACTCTTAACATTCCCGCTTTATCCCAGAATGGAGCTCAGAAAGGCAGGAACTTGAGGGGTTGCAGTGGCAAACAGTAAGAGACCACTGAGCCAAGAGGTACCCTGCAGCACCCTGCTTGGGCCAGGTATGCAGCTGTGCACCCTGAGAGTCAGTGCTGTTTCACCCTGACTCCCAAACCTCACTGCCTGCTACCTTCCTCTACCAAGCTGAGCCCCATCACCTCACGCTCTCCACCCTATGCCAATCTCCTCTTCTCCAAGGGCCCTGGGTATTTTACAAACTGCTCTCAGATGAATAATTGAGAGCTGGGGTAGGAGGAACAGTCCCTCTCTATCTATCATAAAAGCCTCTGGTCCCAAGGCCAAACTTTGATGCCATGCATTAATCCAGGACAATCTTCCCAAAGAAGGCCAGGCAAGAGCTAGGCTGTCTCCAGAGCTTCGAGCCCTGTTCCCCTGGTAAAAGGTACCAAAAAGGGAGGAATTACCCCATTGCTACTTTCTGTGTGAGTGTGTGTGTGTGTGTGTGTGTCCGTGAGTTTTGAAGGGGAGGAAAAGTGTCCCCACCAGATACCATGCCTACGGCCATACCAGCCATACCCTCCACACAAACCCT